TTTTTGCAGGTTGTATCCATATAATTTTGGTATGTGCTGATAGAAAAGGGTTGCAAAATAAATTTTGTGAAATAAAATCTGTGTTAAACCTTGTAAAATTAGAACTATAACAATTTTAAAAAGGGCCTAAAAACGAATATTTTTATACTTCTGAAATGCTAATCTGTTTCTTCAACTAAATTAATAAGTCAAAACCATGTATAGGTTTGTGAAAAGCCCTTAAAACAATCATGTTTGCCCTGCAGACAAACTTTTGAAGCAAAAATACATTTTTTAAAGGTTTATGATNATAATTATACCCAATGATTTCTTTTGGGATTGTTACCTTCAATGTGAATATCTCCTATATATGCAACTATATTATGAATTTGGTTGAAATCTGTTGACCCCCACCTTGCCACCCTCTGACTGGTCTTATCATGGACACACACTTAAAATAAAGGTCAAAGGTGAAATCCAAGGGCAAATTTGAAATCCACACATCCACATATGACTTTCAGTCAGCCGTCTGTAGAAAATATTCCCATAATTCCTTCGGTATGGTAGTATTTAATTTTGTCATATTTGGACAAGGGTGCATTGCAATGATCGCCACACCTAGACCCCAGCACTGACAAAGCCCAAATTTTACGTGGAACGAGTTAAGATTATAAGTGACCTAAATCCAAGAGATGGGTACGCAGGCCCTTACCGTCTAGGAGGAGAAGCGGTAACGGTAACATGGCGGCGGAGCCGGCGGAACGATCCGGACGGGACTAAAACCATGTGTACCGCCAGCGCCTACGAGCATCAGTGGGGTTTGAAGCAACGTGTCTGTATTTTTGCTCTTCTGTTCTATATTTCAGTATATTTATAGATTCTTTTGCAATCTCGAGAATCGCCCGAATGGACGTGAACAGTGTCACAATAAATGTCATCTTTGTCTTGTTCAATATTGATCCCGTCTACAGTTTTACTGTTGCTTACAGTAACAGTTCTACAAAGCCTCTTCCAAAATGGCAATCCATTTTTGACCCACTTTAGCATTGGTTGAGCACTGTTGACCATGATGCATACTGGTAGTCCCACATTTGCTACATTGTACATGGACGTCGAGCTTTTTCGGGCTTCCTGAATTTGAAGGAAGTTATGGTCGAGGATAAGGGGTTACACGTGAGGGAATCGGTGGATGTACATTTGTTATTTGGTACTCTGCCGAAACCTGTGAATCTCATAACAATTGCTGTAGAGGTACTCAGTATCGGTCAACTTGATTATCTAATACACTATTATGACATCTTTCCATTCAGTTTCTTTCCTTGACTTTCAGATGCTTTTGATGCCGAAGCTTCCAATGATGTTGGTATACTGGTAATGACAGTGCTGCTTACATCACAGCTGATTTATAACACCGTCAAAGTGCCAAAGAAAAAGGATCTAGACGAACTCAAGTAAGCCTCCGTAAAAATAAATAAGTATTTTTCACTGAACACACAGTATAGCTCATCATTGAACATGCATCATTTGAACGCGTTCTGAACGTTTCCCTTTCGTTTAAATATAGCTTACTATTTTTACATCAAATTTAAAATGCCACTTCTCTTAAACATTATGGGATTTCAGCATTTTGCACCTTTTTATTAGAAACGTACAGGTAGCTATCATTACCTTGGCATATTATGCTCAAACTTGCTGGAGTTCTTCATGGTACAAAGATGCAGGTCAGATTCAAATACCAGCATTTTTTGGACTATTTTGCTTGATGTTATGTCGTATTTCTGTCAATCAGTCATTTTTTCCTACGTTGGCAATTTACAAGGTGAGACTGAACTACCTTAGACCAGAAACAGTGTGATAGTTACATGTTCTGAATGTTCATAGTAAGGCCGAAAAAAGTTTTGTTTTTCTCCACAGGATTTAATTTTATTTTAATTCTATTTATTTTTGGAAATTTTGCGGTACAATATTTTTCTATTTTTAATAGACATTCAATCTAGATCCCCACAATTCAGCATTGCACCTTTAGTCTAGGTGCTGGCTACAGGAAAATATGCTGTAGCGCAAACGCAAACTTCTCATTGCGTAGGTGAAAATTCTTATCTAAATTCAATTTTACATTTTTGTATAATTTTAATTATTTCTGCCTGCTGAGAACCAATATGCCACTATTGCTTTTGCATCATGAAATTCTGTAATTAGGGGTCCATAACACCACAAAAATAAATAAATAAACCAAAATGACGACACGGGATTGAAGCCCATACAATTATGGTCAACTATGCCCATTTTTGTGATAAACCGATTGCAATCGCACCTCAAAATACAAAGGTAGTAAATTGAGTTGCATATGGTTACATAGCAACGAGAAATCCAGTATAAACACCGATATTTCATACTTTAGAGGAGAGGTCTGTTGTATTTAATTAGCAAAAGGTAGAAGTATTACTGAATAATCAGATGCAGGACAAAACCTCATTTTCGGTACCTTTAAGATAATAAACCCTCACAGTACCCTGAAATAGTTTACAGATAGGAAGGTTTGTTATCTTTATTCGCGTCTTCAAAGTGCCAGCCTGAGCGTCTACTTCCATTGTTTTTTTCCACAAGCATTAACTGGTTTCATAAGGTCACAGCACGAGAGTCTCTCGATATCCAAAGGTCAAGAAAGCTCAAGCATGAAAATGTCATCCGTACTTGGAAAAACATTGTTTAGGCGTGGATTTTGATTAATTGCTTTTTCCAAAATTGTTAGGCAATCATTATTATATCCCTGCATCAATTAGTGCGGGAGTTTAAAAAATAGATTGCCGATTCCATGAGTCTACTTATGTGGAATGACATTGTGTAAACCAATGTAACAGGAATGGTAGTCCTAGGAATGGAAGTCCGTGGTCCCATATGATAAGTACAGGCTACGGTTGGTCGGAGTGCTGGGGTAAGCATATAGGACAAATGTTACCTGTACAAAGTAATGGCGAACGGAGTACGGTTCGGTTTTTCTTCCATCCCTGTCACACCGGTGTAACGTGACAGAGTGTCCCCCATGATAGAGAGTCCGCTAACCATTCAGTTGTATAGGTAAGCCTAGAATGTGGTCCAAAGAGGTCAGGCTATAACCCTAACAATTAGACCTAAATGTAGGGTGGACACTCTGTTACACGGACCCTCAGTTTCGTTACACCGGCGGTAAAAGACTTTTTTTATTTTGTATTCACCCACTTTCCCAACAAAATGCTATACAGAAAAACCGCTCCTACGTCTCAGATTATGGTCTATAATGGTTATTTGGTCTCATAGGTATATGCCACTTCTATATCCTCCTCCCCCCCAAAAAAAATATACTGATATTTTAGTGATAGTAGTCACTTTATTTGGAACAACTGTGGAACAGTTACGTTTCCCTCTCCTAACAAGAACATAATCAGGGCCCGGTATCTCGAAAGCCTCGCTTATGGCGAGCGCGCGCTATCCCATATCTCGAAAGCTTCGCAATTCGCGGCTGTGCGCTAATGGCGAAATCACCATTAGTTTCGAGGCTATCATTTGCGGTGATACAAACTAGTCGCAAAGGCCTCTGCGTATGCATAATTTGTCATTTTAATGTGTCTTTCATGTAATTAAACGTGGTGGCAAGTTTAGGTTGCTAGTCATTATAGCATATAACAAAACATATAACAAAAACATGGAAGCTTATAATAGATTGAATTACTCGGTACCTCTGATAGAAAAACTTGCGGTAAATTCACGTGAAGAATGCTAAAGTCATGTTTTATGATGCATAAACATTTCAAAATTAAACATTTCATACATCATTTTATATTTTCTGATGAATATAATTCATCTGTGTAGTCTACTGATAATAAACATAAATTTAAAAGTGCCATTTTCTACACAAAATGAAAATGCAGAAACAAGGCATTCGGTCGCACAGTGACCTTCCTCAATGTCTTTTATTGTGAGACTGAACACTACTCGCCAATGCGCCGGTAATTGTGTCAGTCCAAACTTATTGAATTGTTTTTTGACATTTTATTGGTGTCAAACACTTCAAATATCAGTTTTTGTAATTATGATATTCCTATAAATAAAAGCAACCTCTTGATTAGCGTCATGGTGAGAAAATTACATTTTGTGTAATTGTGTTATGACGTCTTCACTTTATGCGGCAATGGAATTTTAGTAGAGTTTGAGGTTATAATTGCGTTGCCCAGATTGACCACAGCTCGTTTGGTGTTGGAAGACCAGTGAACGATTGTCACTCAAGGCGTATAGTATATGGAACCAATGTAACCTGGGCCCTGTATCTCGAAAGCTTCGCTATGTTGCGAGCGGGAGCGAGCATGCGATTCCTCGCTATTTGCGAGTGCGATTGCACCCACCTGCTATCTCGAAGCCTTGAGAAAACGCAACGCAATTATAACCTCAAATCCTACTAAAATGCGATTGCCGCATACAGTGAAGACGTTATAACACAAATTTTATGCATAATAAAACATAACTTTAGCACTCTTCACGTGGCAACCCAAATTTGCCGCCATGTTTAATTACATGAAAGACACACTAAAATGACGAATTATGCATACGCAGAGGCCTTTGCGACTAGTTTGTATCACCGCAAATAATAGCCTCGAAACTAATGGTGATTTCGCTATCAGCGCACGGCTGCGATTTGCGAAGCTTTCGAGATTTGGGATAGCGAGGAATCGTCGTGCTTGCGCCCGCTCGCCATAAGCGAAGCTTTCGAGATACGGGGCCCTGGACGTCTGCCAATGTCTAGGTACACTGCAAGCTAAATTTTGAAATTATTTTCAGCTTGTGTAAAACAATTATCATAAATGGTGATGCCTACTTCTATTGAGTAGTGCATTTAGTTTTTAAAATTCTGAGCGTTTTTCAGTGCGACCTCCTTGTACAACATTTGTAAAATGAAATAGATGAAAAATAATTATTTTATATTTAGAACCCTTACTGATGTTACTACAAAAATTCGGACAAAGGAAAATGAGGAGGCAACAGAGGATATGGGGGCACTTCGCAAGATGTTTCCAAACTTTATGTGGCTTTTACGAGACGTCCATTTGCAGTTTAAACGCCCTGTAACCGGAGACGAAATGACACCCACTGACTACGTGAAGGAAGTGGTGAGTTTACCTTTGATGGCGAGCGCCCATCCACTTAATTTAAGATTTAATATCCAAGTCAGAAAAAAGTGAAAATTAATCATTTGTAATATCAAATATGAAACAAATGGGTTATACCGGCCGCCACTAAAAAAAATACACCTCTGAGACTACTTGTAATTTTCATCATAAAAATGCCTCATTATTGATACATCCTGAATGTCAAATCGGAAAAGGTGGGCATCAGTTTCTCAAGAAAATAAGGGATTCGTTTGAGGTTGGGGCTTTTCATCCATTGCTTCTGCACAAAGGCGAAAATAACTTTAGAATCCGGTCTAATTTTTAAATTTGAATTAACGCTGTCTAAAAGTTGTTTTTTGTTCGGTTCAGAGGTAGGTTGCTTTCGGTAATTATTCTGTTTTGTTGCATAATTTGGTGACGTTTGGCCCATAAATGCCAAACAGTATTTTTGTTTTACATTAAATTTACTGAGTAGGTTTGTTTGGTTACAAGAGAAGGTTGTTTTTGAAATTTGGCACGATCGGTTTTTATTTACGTTAATTATTCAGTTTTCTTTTTGCACTATTTTGGTAACGTTCGCCCCCTAACTGCCAAACTGTATTTTTGTTTGACATTAAATTTACTGAGTGGCGCTGTTTGGTAAAGAGGCAGGTTGCTTTCGAAAAATCTGTATGATCGGTTTTTATTTACAGTAAATTATCTGTTTTGTCACATAATTTTGGTGACGTTGGCCTTATAACTTCCAAAGTGTATTTTTTTATTTTTTTTTTATTTTTTTATTCAATTTACTGAGTGGCTTTGTTTGCTTTCAAATCGGCATTATCAGTTTACATTTACGGTAATCATTATGTTTTTTTTTCATAATTTTGGTGACCTTTGCCCCATAAATGACAAACCGTATTTTTGTTTAACTTTAAATTCACGGAGTAGCTTTGTTTGGTTAAAAAAGAAGGTTGTATTCGCAAATTCGGTAAGATAACATGTTATCTTTATGCATTTTGGGCAGAGAATACTTGTAGAAATAATAGGCAAATGAAATGAAAACGTGACACGGAACTTGAAGGTGCAAAATCGTGCTTAATTTGCAGACAACTTGTTTTGAAATACATGTTGCATCGACCGCCAGCGCAACAAAGAGCGTAAAGGGAAAGGAATTCCCGGGAAGCTATAAATCGTTGTCATGTGGAATTTTGACATTTATATAATCTGATATGTCCATATCTAAGTGTTTTTGGGTGTTTTATTGTATGTGCTGCAATTATAATGACGTTTTAGAGTTCTTGAAGGACCTTGTGAAAACCAGGAAGTAATTCGTAACCACGACTGCTGTGCAAAGATGTATCTTTTTTTTTTTAATATTGTGACGAATTTTTAGATCTTTATATGTCCATCTGACATGAAATTCCACACATATGATCACACTAATACACCTTTTACACCGGGGTAGGCACTAATCAGTGACAAATGCCAAGACAAAAGTGACATTCTGACAGCCTCTTATCCGAGCTAAATATCACAAGTACGCGACTGGCGTTTAATGGCATCTTGCACGCCCTTCCCAAAAAGATAAAAAGAGAATTCAGGTGAGCCGATCACAAAGCTGACAGGTAATTAAGACTAGCTCTAAGTTACTAATAATTGACATTATTATGCAATACTCAGTTGGAAAAGCGATTCTGACAGGTAGATAAGATATAACATGACCAGTTTCTCAAGGCTATTGACTTCCAGCCTGAAGAAATTGATTGCCAGTCTCATTTGCTAGTGATTTTTAGTCCAGATAATAGGCTGTCAGAATGTCACCTTTGTCTTGGCATTTGTCACTGATTAGTGGCTACCCCGGTGCTTGGACATAATAACGAAAGGACGTGAAACGCGGCATCTTCCTTTGAAGCTATGTGCGTTCGGGTAAACATTCGCCCATTGTCTCAGATAAGCTGTTTTGATAAAAAGTTATTAAAAGCACCCCGGGCACTTTTTTGTGTGTCACAAATGCATGTGTTTTGCCATATTGCAACGAGAACCGATACTGAGGGTAAAATATTAATTAGCAACCTCAAATTCGGGAAGACGTTAGCCGGTAAAATGAACATATATATGCAGTTCACAAAGGTGTGGATGTCAACTATCATAAAGGGATATTAAAAGGCATTACGGGTGCGTTTCTGTGTGTCACAAATGCATGTGTGGTGCCATATTGCAACGAGAGCCTATTTTAGAGTAGAAAATATAAATTATCTTCCTAAAAATCGCGCATAATTTAGCAAGTAGCAAGAATTTATACATTAAGTATGCAGCAGTGTTGATGTCATCTTTATTTAAAAGGTGGATAAAAAATACCGGTCTAAAAGAAATGTCGGCAAGCCTAAGAAACCGGAGAGAAATTGCGTCATTTTAATTCAAGACACTATTGAAATTTCATTATTGCCGCATCGCAGGCTCATTTCTCACATAGAGAGAAACTTTCGACACTAGAAATATTTTCCTATCGGATCATAGCTAAAAACAAGTATGCTACACTACAATTATACAATTTTCAATGCTCATTTTACGGCAACAAACAAGATTTCCTTTACCACACACGGCAATTTGAATTCCTCCATGAACAAACATATCAAATCCTCACATACTTCCAAATTGATAGATCAAATTGTACGTATAATTAATCTCTATAAGTTTATTGTCTCATCCACCGGAAGGATTGCCTCACGTTATCACGAACTACCTGTCCAAATGTCACAAAAAAATCATCGACAACTGCGATACGCTCGCTACCTGTACGGAAGGTCACGTGATCCGAACGCACATGGTTTCACGAAGAGCTCGCGTCCTTTCGTTATTATGTCCAAGCCCTGTGTAAAAGGTGTATTAATGTGATAATTTGTGTGGAATTTCATGTCAGATGGACATACAAAGATATAAAAATTCATCAAAATATTTAAAAAAGATACATCTTTGCACAGTAGTTGTGGATCGCTACGACTCAGTTGTCAGTTACGAACTACTTCCTGGTTTTCACAAGGTCCTTCAAAGACCCTTAAACATCGTTATAATTGCAGTACATACCATAAAACACCCAAAAATACTCAGATATGGACATATCAGATTATATAAATGCCAAAATTCCACACGACAACGGTTTATTGCCTCCCGGGAATTCTTTTCCCTTTACGCTCTTTGTTGCGCTGGTGGTCGGTGCAGCATGTATTTCAAAACAAATTGACTGCAAATTAAGCACGATTTTGCACCTTCAAGTTCCGTATCACGTTTTCATATCATGTGCCTATTATTTCTATAAGTATTCTCTGCCCAAAATGCATAAAGATAACATGTTATCTTACCGTGTTGTTAGAATAACTGCTTTTTTCTCCAAGCCCACGTCTTCATTCCCATTCACCTTCAGCTAAAAATGGCCACTCAGCTTTACGTCTTACACCACTACACGTCACTTCCGGCACAATTCTGTCCAATGCTGATCTCCTCCTTTACCCCTTATTATTCTGTTTTTTTTTTTTTTTTTTTTTTTTTTTTTGTGACGTTTGCCCTGTGACTGCCAAATTGTATTTTTGTTTTAAATTAATTTTACCTAGTGCCATTGTTTGGTAAAGAGGCAGGTTGATATCAAAAAGTTTGATATGTTCACATTTACGTAATTATTTTTTGTTTCTTTCAACGTTTTATTTTTCACATCGCATTTTAGTGGCTTTTATAGCCCATGAAACTAAATTACTTGATAGTTTTTCATTATCCATGTTAATTATAGTATATAATGTGAGAGGATAAGAGTGATTTTGCTGTATAGGACTGCTGTCCAATGCTAGATGATTGATTTGTTAAATGTTTTTGCCATCAGGTTTTCAGGAAGGCCTCAAAGGAAAAGAAAGAAACAGACCAAGAGAAGATAGGGAGAATCATATTGATGGCTTTTGAACAGGTGGAGGCATTTGCACTCCCTAGCCCAGGAGATGAAGATGTTTTGGCAGATATTGCAAAAAAAGCTGATAACATCAAACCTAAATTCAATGAGAAAATGGATGAGTTTATAGAAGGCATCCTGTCTGTTCTAGAATGCAAGCGAGGGATGACTGAGGGCTCTCAGATAACAGGTATATTGTTTCTTGGGTTCTTGTGGTCATTTTCTATGGAATGCAATATGAAAATTTAATGCTATCTACCTGTGGACTGCAAATTGGTATCCACCATGTGAAATTGGTCTCAACATAAGAGAGTATACTCTTCATCACCATTTCTAGGAGATCAGCTTGCCGCAATGTTGCAGCACTATGTAAAAGCTGTCAATGCTCCAGGCACCATACCTGTTATAAAGAGTGCCTGGGATGCTAGTGTGGAGTTGAGGCGCAAGAATATACTAGAAGACATGGTGAAAAAGTACAAAAATGAAATGACGGTACGTGAAATATGTTCGTGTTAGGGCAATATAATAAAAATAAAAATAATAATAATAATAATAATAGTAATAATAATATTAATTTTATAGTCTAAAATCCAACGTATGTTCAACAGACTAAACGAATTTAAACACTCTATTAAAAGAAAAAAATAATTACTGATGGTCATAAGATAGATATAGAAAGAAAATAATAATAGAAAAATGTTAAAGGTAGAAAATAGATATACGTAAGATGGATAAGAGGTGAACATTAAAACTATGAACTAAGAATTATTATTCCCAAAAAGGTATTCTTACAAGAATTAAAAAATAATATTGGTTAAAAGGTAGGTTTTAAGTTCGATCCTTTTTAAAATGTCTCTAGTCTATAATTTGTCTAACACTGATGGGTAAATTATTCCATTCTCTAGGTGCTGCAATTTTAAAAGCTTTGTCACCGTATGACACCAATCTTGCCTTAAAAGCCTTAAAGAGAAGTTGATCACCTGGTCTAAGATTTCGTGATGGTATATATTGTGAAGCTGGATCATTTAAATAAGAGGGCGCAAGTTTATAAAATAGTGCATGTGCAAATGTTAATGTTTAAAAAAATAAGTGTGCGCACAGGGAGCCAGTGCAACATCATTAAAACGGTTGTGGGTCAGTAGGCGAGCAGATATGTTCTGTACACGTTGTAGCCATTTGATTTTTTCCTCCGAAAATCCAAAATGCACAAGTTGACATAGGGAATTTTGGCGTAGTCAAACGTTAATTTATGGCCTCGGATTCAGTGCTACACATTTTTGGCCAGGCTTCCTTAGCCTCGGATCCACTTCTATATCTCCTACCGTGCTGGTCGCACAAAGACAACCAGTGTTCTCAGAAAAGAGTGGTAGAATGTCATTCAAACGCTCATTTCAAGGTCCTTCGTGATTACTGCAAACCGGTTATTTTGCACGAAGAACAGTAGGGAAACCACTGTTAACAGCAAGTCATATACAGCAATGTCTGCAATGGGCTGGGGACTACGTGCGTTTTCAGCCAAAATACTGAAATCAAGTCGTTTTCAGTGATGAGGTCAGATATGGATTTTTTTGGATTGACGGTCGATTCCGTGTCCGCCGACGTGTACGAGAGGCATAAAACGATGATTTTGCACTGCCTAGGGTGCAAGCAGGGGGTGGTAACGTCTCTGTTTCGGGAGCATTTTTGCCAGGGCCCAGAACCAGTTGGTTTTTCTAGGAGGCAGCCTCAACTAGGATTCCTACAGAGACATTCTACAGCCAACAATGCTTCGATTTTTAAGAGTCATCTTCAGGGACCACTCAGTGTACCAAGACGACTGCGTAACCCCACATCGAGCTCGCAGAATCATATGAACCCAATTGAAAATCTGTGGGCGGAAGTAACTCACAGAATTAATAGCTATGGTCATCGGCCGGTAAATAGTTAGGAACTGCGACAGGCAAATATCACTGAGTGGAATGATATCCCCATCCAAACTCTAAAAACTTGTCACAGGGTATGCCTTGTAGGATGAGGGCGCTGCAAGTGTGCTTTACCACTCTATCTAACTCTGCTTTTAGTCATTCACCAGACAAGTGCACTCCTCAATATAACGATCTTAAAGGAACCCCAACTGCGTATCATGTATAATTAAATTGAGAAATGGTTTTATTTTGATTGTGGTAAAGCGGACGCAATTTTATTTTCGACGTTTAGTCAACTTCTAGGTCTCCAACTGCTTTAATATTCCTTCTTCTCTCCCTTAGTACCTTATAAAATTCAGCAGTGAATCCATCAATTCCTGGGGCTTTACATTTAGATATTTGTTTCAAAACAGACATGCATTTTTGTTCTGTGATGTCCGCGTTTATATTTCCGTTTTCTCGCGAAAGTTTGGCAATGTAAGAATTATTATCGTTAAAGAAAATGCCAGTTTATTTGTTCATAGTTTTAATACCCTTTGAGTAGTATAAATCTATATAATATCGTTCCCGTTCTTTAATAAGTACACATGGTTTTAGTCCCGCCCGGTACCATCCGCCGGCTCCGTTAGCTCCGTTGCCATGTCACCGTTACCGCTTCAACTTTTCAACTTGATCACTGTGTATTAATTATGGGATTTGTCAGTACTTGGGTGTAGGTGTGGCGCTTGTTGCAATGCACCCTTGTCCAAAATTGCCAAAATTTTTAAAATGCTTAATGTCTGCCAAACCGAAGGAATTATGGAAAAAAATCTAAAGATGTCTGACCGAAAGTCTTATGTGGAGATTTCAGATATGTCCTTGGATTTGACCTTGGACCTTTATTTCAAGGTGAAACGGTCCAAAATTTTCTAAAAAAGGGAATTTTTTGAAAAAAATTATTTGTGCTGTATTTCAGAAACTACACATACCTAACCTATAATATTATTGGTAGGTGTTAGCCTTAGGGATATCTGGGCTCCGTATCTCGAAAGGTTCGCTATGTTGCGCACGTGCGTTAGTGTCTCGATTCCATAACCGATTACATTTTGAGATACGGGGCCATGGAATCGGGACACTAGTGAGACTCCCCACAGGTATAGATCGATATAAATGTCTATGGTAATGGGGTGTAAATTACAGAAATACATTGTTATTATTCATTATTATACCCTCTATTGTGTATTTTAGTACGTCTCGTTCTTATTCCACCTTAAAGGGCGTCTTACCGATATAGGCGGTTATATAGCATAAAAATAGATTTTCTCTGAAACTTTGCATATTTTCTCCTGAACCCCAAGGCATGTGGCGAACATCCACTCCTACACCGGGTTCAAGGCCACGTGTGATTGTGCTTTGAATGTGCAGTGAATGGGCATTGAGATTACGGTATCAACAAATGTTGACACGTACAATCCGTCGTAAATAATTCCAAGTATTTGTTAATTATCTGGACTTTTTTAACCGACCAGAAGTTAAGTGGATTCTTTCAATGGAAAGTAGGTTAAGCAGTTGTCCCGGCATTTCTTCCCGCCCCTTCATTCATACGATAGTACCTGACTCACGTGACAAGCTAAGTATGTTACAATCGCGGGATGTAAAAGCGATTTAGTTCTTTATTTCTGCGTACTTGGCGCGTGCTAGACGTTGAATTTAAAGTAGATCTTGCTTATTTGAAGTTTTTGATGATGTGAAAGTTCTGTGTTCGTGAATAATTTCCTAAAAACTAAACTAAAACCGCTTTGTATGCCGCTTAAAATATCATTGTGCCGTATAAGGTTTTTGATTTTTTTAAAATGTTTTTTCAACTTGTTCTCCCTCTTTCCATTTCTGTATGGAATAGCGAATCGTGTTGCCTCTATTTTAAGCTTCACCATCTCCCAAAGCAATAGAGGGAACCGGAGAAGATCGGCATTGGTCAGAATTGTGCCGGAAGTGACGTGCAGTGGTGTTAGAAACGAAGCTGTGTGGTCATTTTAACATAGAGGTGAACGGCAGTGAAGACGGGTTGTCGGAGGAAAAAGAAGTTTTCTAAACAACATGGTAAGATAACTCTCTTTTTTTACGCATTTTGGGCAGAGAAAACTTGTAGAAATAATAAATGCATGATATGAAAACGTGACACGGAACTTGAAGGTGCAAAATCGTGCTTAATTTGCGGTCAACTTGTTTAGAAATAAATGCTGCGTCGACCGCCAGCGCGACAAAAAGCGTAAAGGGGAAATAATTCCCGGGAGTCTATAAATCGTTGTCATGTGGAAATTTGGCATTAATATAATCCGATATGTCCATATCTAAGTATTTTTGGGTGTTTTATGGTATGGGCTGCAATTACAACGATGTTTTAGAGGTCTTGAAGGACCTTGTGAAAACCAGGAAGTAGTTCGTAACTAACAAGTGAAATGTACCGATCTCCGACTGCTGTGCACAGCTGTATCTTTTTTTCAATATATTGACGAATTTTTGTCACAGGACAAATAAAACATTTCACTGACAAGATCTTCCCAAAAAGACAAAAAGAGAATTCAGGTGAGCTGACAGGTAATTAAGACTAGCTCAAAGTACTAATAATTGACATTATTATGCAATACTCAGTTGGTAAAACGATTCTCACAGGTAGATAAGATGTAACATGACCAATTTCTATAGGCTAATGATTGCCAGCCTGAGGAAATTGATTGCCAGTCTCTTTTGTCAGTGATTTTTAACTCAGATAAGAGGCTGTCAGAATGTCACCTTTGTCTTGGCATTTGTCACTGATTAGCGCCTTCCCCAGTGTAAAAGGTATATCAGTGTGATCATGTGTGTGGAATTTCATGCCAGATGGACATATAAAGATCTAAAAATTCGTCAATATATTGAAAAAAAGATACAGCTGTGCACAGCAGTCGGAGATCGGTACATTCCACTTGTTAGTTACGAACTACTTCCTGGTTTTCACAAGGTCCTTCAAGACCTCTAAAACATCGTTGTAATTGCAGCCCATACCATAAAACACCCAAAAATACTTAGATATGGACATATCGGATTATATTAATGCCAAATTTCCACATGACAACGATTTATAGACTCCCGGGAATTATTTCCCCTTTACGCTTTTTGTCGCGCTGGCGGTCGACGCAGCATTTATTTCTAAACAAGTTGACCGCAAATTAAGCACGATTTTGCACCTTCAAGTTCCGTGTCACGTTTTCATATCATGCATTTATTATTTCTACAAGTTTTCTCTGCCCAAAATGCGTAAAAAAAGAGAGTTATCTTACCATGTTGTTTAGAAAACTTCTTTTTCCTCCGACAACTCGTCTTCACTGCCGTTCACCTCTATGTTAAAATGACCACTCAGCTTCGTTTCTAACACCACTGCACGTCACTTCCGGCACAATTCTGACCAATGCTGATCTTCTCCGGTTCCCTTTATTGATCATTAATAAATAATCTTTACTGCAATATTACAACCCGAAGGTTGAAGTTTTACATATATATATATACTTTTTTTAAATATTTATTCATTTAAATGAAATGTGTGTATGTATGTGAGAGAAGCCTGGTCTTAGTTTTGCCCTGTGGCACTATAGACGTTCTCACCTCCCTGGGGAGGATGCAGCCCGGCTGCCATATTAGGCGCTCAGAGCTATCATTTCATTCCTGCTCTTGCCAGACCAGGCCCCTGCTTCAACCCCTTAATGCTGAGTGCCAAGCGGGGAGACAGCAGGTACCGTTTATAAAGGACTGGTATGTCCCCGGACGGGTTTTGAACCCACGTCCTCCCGCTCCGGAGGCGGACACTCTAACCACAAGGCCATCCGGTCGGTTATAGTCAGTAGTATTTTCTGTTCTGTATTCGTTTCTGGTCTTCTAAAAGGCTGTTATTTAATTTTCATGCACCCTTACCTCTTTTCTGATTAAAAAACTCAATTTGGTTGATATTGGTGAAAGTTTAGAGCGGTATGAAAAATCATTGTTAGAATCGAATAAACAGTGCTGTAAGTCAGCCGAGGTGAAAAGTAATCGAGGCGCATTTGCTTGTGATTAGGACTATGCCACGTATACGTATTTGCTTTCACTAGGGTGATAATCACGCCAAGCATCAATCCAATGAAATGAATTCATAAATGAAAGGACAACTTTATTAGATTTTTCTTTGCTTTAATTCGTGTTATTTTGCGTGTCCGTCAAATAGCTCAACGGAACATTCCAATCACCGGCGATAATCATTTTGGTATTACCAAGTCAGCCAATTTTCTGTTCGATGTCTTTCAGGCCTACCCAACTACCAGACTCGGCACCTAAGGATCCTGAATTGACCGGTATATCGGAACACACTACCCGTTTTCAAGGTGTGTGTCAGATCGCATTTCGGAGTATTAGCCAGAACACCGACAGGATGAGCCCTGGCATGCTCGGCTGTCACCTTGATTGGATAGTAAACGATTGTCGTAAAATCGCTATATGATTTTAAACCGGGTGCATAAATTTGAAAGCCACCTAGATGAACATTTGACTGCCACATTAATCTAATACAATGCAAAAAAGCCCTATCAAAAGTGGTTAAAACATTCAAACCGAATGTCGTAAAGTCCCCATATATCACCATAGAGACAATAAAATAGAGTACTCTAAAGTAAGAGTACAGTTTAAAGTTGTTCAGCCGAGCGTGGATGAGCCTGCAGTCATGCTACAAAATTTGTTCTGGAGTATGATACTCCGAAATGCGATCTGACACACACCTTGAAAACGGGTAGTGTGGTCCGATATACCGGTTAATTCAGGATCCTTAGGTGCCGAGTCGGGTAGTTGGTTAGGCCTGTCTTTGAAATATTACGGTGTGTCACTGCTAGGTCCATAACAGCCGCGAGAAAAAAACGCGTTTCTTGTACCAGTGCAGTTATTTCTAGGATGAAAAGTTCCTCTGAGGGTCTAATAGCTTGATGTGCATTGAGAAAGAAAGGAATTTCGGATAAGTATCGTTACCCCCTACTTTGTGAAGGGAAAGAACTAACGAGACAGCAAACTGTCAAATGTACAGACTAAAGGCAGAAGATAATAATGCACTAAATAGGCTCCCGTCAATTCTGATGCAATAAGACATTGTGCTTTACTGCAACATCAACATCAAATTTTATTTATGCACGACTAGTAATACGGATGTAAGTAAAATGTGAACAAGCACAAGGCTTCAAGCCTATTAGAGTTTAGGCTCACACTTAGAAAATGTCATAATAAGAAAAATAAAGATTGCAAAAAACGTGCATAAATTCAATGAAAAATGACAAACCAATAGAGCTGATTTTCTAATTTGAACTGTATGTCGATCCTAAGAATCATTCTTGTTAGGTAAAATGTAATACGTAACAGTTTTGTTGAAACACTATAAGGTATAAGTTAATATATGTTTGTGTTATCACTGAAAGTGCACGGTGACGACGGGAATGGCGACGGCGACGACGACAGGTGGCGGCTTAATGTACAGACACGTCTCTGTACATAAAAATACATATTCCAGAAAATAGGGGTTTAGCTCTTGGTCCAGGGCATATCGCGTCATGGTCATTCGAATAACTGGTTAGACAGTTGGACTAATGAAACAGCAAGATAGCTATTGTAATTTCGGTTAACACTTACAGGGCTGTTAGGCTAGATCAATATTACAAAGTGTTCGCCTGGCTGGCTTTATTAATTCTATTCAGACAGTGTAACTAATGTCATCGAATGTCACCAGCGTTAAAAGGCCCCATTAAACAGCAATTTCCCCACAATGCATGGATGGCTTCCCATCGACATATGTGTCACCTTGTTGACATTTTCTTTTTGCGAATACATGTGTATAGCCAAAGTATGAGCCGTTTTATTAAATATATAACATCTAAAATGTAAATGTAATTATATCAAATATAAAAATCACATGAAATATTGTGTTCAAATTTTTAATAAAATAACGTTTATCGCCCCTTCCCAACGCTCACGGAATTTGTCAGGGACTTGCTTGGGATGGAGTGCCGGTGATTCTGTGACCAAATAACAGATTCGCAATTCGAACTTCTTGTACCCTAAGTCCTTAGATAACCCTTGATGAAAGTATACTGTCCCTCATTTATGCCCAAACTATGTTTGAACGAGTGGGCCTACGAGAACTCTTGCCTTTACAAATTGCCAAATAATTCCATCAAGCATATCATGGAAAGGTTATTGCATTTTAAAAATTAGATCATGGTGTTAATTTCACTCTAAAATATAAAAATACGTTAAGGGTCAGTACAAACTTGCCCTAATCATCCCTTTAAATTCATTCACTAAATCATAGCTTCTTCGATGTCATACCTACCACTAACGATTAAAATAAGATTATTTCCATGATGTACCAAAATCAGTCATGAAATATACGGTCATGGTGAATGAAACATCATGTTTCTTTAATCTTGACTTTGCTGCTTACTGGTCATCAAAATATTATGACGTATTTTTGCACACACATACACACACAGTGAGAGAGAGTCTCACATGTATAGCCTCATACTGTGATGAAGGTTTTTTGAGACGTTGAGATATTGGAGAGCTAAAAACTCTAACTCTATAATATTATAAAATTAAATTGTTATTATCATTATGACTCACTGATGATATTTAGAATTTCTGATTTAATTTTTACAGGGTAGCATTCAAAAATGGTGTGATGAAAACATCTGAAAGCTGAACATATGATAACTCCATAACCATATTGTTTTATTTAGGAAGCAATCAACAAAGCCTGCTTCAAAGAATCTGAGATGTTTCCTTTAGAAGAAAGAGATGATGATCCTAAAAAGTAAGATTTAAGAAGCTGTATAAACCTGATTAAATCAGAATATAGATGTAGAGGCTTTTAAAAGTACACTCAAGTACAGCATCAATATCTAACAATTTTAAGAATTGTTATGAATCACTCAGTAAATGTATGCGGTGACACGAAAAACTGCCTATGCTATTATATTTAAAGGTGTGACGTATTATATGTACCCAATAACAAGTAGAAATACAACTGAAACATGATATCAAATGTTTCTTCTTTCCAGAACAAGCTTAATGAGAATCCACGATGCCGTTCTGAAAAATGTTGATGACGAATTAAAGAAGCAACTTGAGTCCTTTGGATCTGACAGACAAGATTCGAACGACAAACTTTTCTTTGTTTTGAACGAAATAATAGGTGAGGAAAATATGTAAGCATAAAATATCTTCTATAAATTGCTATTTCACAATACTTTAAACACACGGAACCCCTATTAAAGAAAATTCAGGATTTGCCAGTAATAGCCGGTCTTCAGATAATAAGGTAAAGACGGTGGCAGTACACATTTAGGTTTAAAAAATCACAAACTAAATAAAGTCTTCTACAACTTAATAAATAATATTTAACTAACAAAAACATATATACTTTCCTAGCACAAAGGGTCACCCATACCGCATTAATGTACATTGCTATAAAGGTACCCATATAGTTAATTTTACTATTGCATGACAACGATCAAAAATCAACCAATCACTGTGTAATTTGATGATGTAAGTAGTAGATCATTGAACTACGTAGCATGATCATTGAAATACCCCAACACTAATTATTTTTTAAATTATATTATATTGGCCCAAATTATATTATATTAAAATATCTGGCTTCTAAGTGTGAGGGATACTTTTTTTACAAAGCGGTTGTTGACATAGGAGTGAGTTCTGACCCGCCGAATTGCCATAAGGTTGGGTTGTTCCATGAGAACCGTAATTACCGAACAGGCAAATGGGCAAGATTGTCTGGGTAAGGCCGATCGAATAAAAATACACCCAGATAACAGAGGATGTTAATATGCCTTCCTCGTACAAATCGTTTCATGACATTTGGGCTTGACTGCAACATTTAACAAAAACAGGACAAACATGTAAGGTTTCATTCGGACAATAAGTATAATGGCAGTTGCTTGGTAGTTTTCAGTACCAATATTAACAAAACAAATTATCCGACGTTTAACACACTGTCTAGGCTGTGAGGATAAGATCCCTTTGAATGTTTCAGCTCTGCAGTCCGTTACGTTTACTTAAAAAAGGAGAGACGAAACAAATGGCTTTGTCATCTTGGGCCAATATAATCCGGCTTTGAAAATATAATAAATAACTCGAATTATGTATCATTAGTTTAACCATCTTCTCTGTCCGCTCACAGAAGGCTCAAATAGAATATTATTTACTTTGGAACATGCAGTCACAACTTTTAGAGCAAACAAACTCACTAGCGACATTTGTAAACGTGTTGGCAGTATCTCCCAAAATATATTTTGATCGCTTGCCTTGATTTGCTGCTATTGTAAAAAGGAAAATGTCTATAGAATAAAGAAAAGATAACTTTCTATCTACCTATAAGTTGATAAAAGGCCTATCTCCACTCATCAACCTATTACATACAAACATTTAGGAAAAAATCTAGCAGTACCCAGTGTCATATTTTTGTATTGCACTCCTCCAATCTCTCTTTTCTCTCTATTTTTGTGAAAACGACCAGTGTTGAAAAAGGTTAGCTTACTACCATCTCTAAAATTTGAAATTGATGACTGCAATCACTTCCCTTAAAGCAATAATAACTCTTCCTTTGATATTCAAAATTCCGCAAGAAATACATTGTAAACAACGCATGGAAATATATTCTATTGTATTTTACCACTAAAACGGCCGTTGTTGTAGTTAAACTAAAATCTGTGCTTGTCAATAGGGCTTTCGATGCCTTTCCTCCCGGTCGTCAAGGCATCCGTTGCCAATGACGTTGGGGTGTCACGCGGATTCTCGCGTTCATTCGAGACCAAAATAACATGGTGGGAAACCCTCAGACGTAAGTTGCGAGTTTTTGTACTGTGCGTCGGATAACGAAAAGCCCAGAATGGCACACATTGTGGATATAAATGCATTTTGAGCAATAAGATGAATATATCTTATGAATCTTATATTATTGTTATATAGTGTTGTTGTCTGCTTTTCCCGCGGTTTTACGTAGGTCACCAGTGACTATACAATGTCAGTGAGGGCTCAATCAGTTAAAATCTCTTTAGAGATTTTATCAAAAAACCGTACGTTTAGGAAAAAATCCAGGATTAACTTTGAATGCGGGAATGGGGTCGTTGACCATTGATAAGTACGGGAAAATTGCCGTTTTTTCCAGGAAAATCCAATTTTTGGCCAAAACGAAGAGTTATTATGACTTTAATCATGTTAAAATAGTACACTCTGACCACAGGGTGCTTTAGTCAGTTACAAAAATGTTAAAAAGCACAGTGTGGTTTTGTACATATTTCAGTGGGGCCCTGATATAAATAGGAAAGTCATTAGTGATTCGATCGTAGAGGGTGCAAGCGAGGAGCTATATCCCCTTTTAACGTACAAATATAGACAATTATTTTCCTTAATTACCACTTACTCAAATTAGTCCATGAGCCAGACGCCTGATTTTCAGCCATAGGTACCAAAAAAGGGCCAAATTCTCATAGTGATTTTTAGTAAGGGCTATGTCTCTAGTGTCCAAATATGTGTGATAGCCTTCTCATACTGGTAGCTTTTTGTGTGCTATCACACCTTATATAACCCCACCCCTTTTTCCAGATGGGGGTAGGGTAGAGAAAATGCTTACTATATCTATATTGTAACAGGTATATCAATAAATTGTATATCCTTATGGAGGCAAGGAATGGGACAATTTATTTCAAAAGTCATGAATGCATGACAATTAGTCAAGGGTCATTGATAATGGGTCAAAGGTCACAGGAGGTCATTTTTGGGGATTTTTCATAAATTAAACACAAAAAGTTTTTTTCAAATCATTGTTTAAGTAAGTATTTGGTATTTGGTGGATGATTTGTAAAGATGGTATAGTCTTATGCTTGTGAGCAAAGTTTGGAGCCTCAGCTGTCTTATTTTAGAAAATTATGTAAAAGAATGTGAACCCAACGGCCAAAATATACCATCTTTGAAAGTGGGGGTAGGGGAAATAAAATTCTTGCTACATGAATATGGTCAAAGATATATCAATGCATTATATATCCTTATGGAGGTAAGGGATGGAACAACTAATTTCATAAATCATTTATGCATGACATTTAGTCAAGGGTCATTGATAATGGGTTAAAGGTCACAAGAGGTCATATTTTATGGATTTTTTTATAAATTAAAACTAAAATATTTTTAAAAATATTGTTTGAGAAAGAAATTAGTATTTTGTGAATTATTTGCAGACGTGGCATAGTTAAACACTCATGAAAAAAAAAATTGGAGCCTTAACTCTTTTAATTTAAAAAAAATTATGTAACTAGTTAAATGTGAACCTAACGGCCAAAATATGCCATCTTTGAAAGTGGGGGTAGGGGAAAGAAAATCCTTGCTACATCAATATGATCAAAGATATATCAATGCATTATATATCCGTATAGAGGTTAGGGATGGGACAATTAATTTCATAAATCATTTACGCATGACAGTTAGTCAAGGCTCATTGATAATGGGTCAAAAGTCACAAGAGGTCATATTTTATGGATTTTTTATAAATTAAAACCAAAACCTTTTTAAAGATATTGTTTGAGAAAGAAATTAGTATTTTGTGAATTATTTGCAGACATGGCATAGTTAAACACTCATGAAAAAAAATTGGAGCCTCAACTCTTTTAATTTAAAAAAATTATGTAACTAGTTAAATGTGAACCTAACGGCCAAAATATGCCATCTTTGAAAGTGGGGGTAGGGGAAAGAAAATCCTTGCTACATCAATATGGTCAAAGTTATATCAACGCATTATATATCCTTATGGAGGTAAGGGATGGGAAAAATTGATTTCATAAATCATTTATGCATGACAGTTTGTCAAGGGTCATTGATAATGGGTCAAAAGTCGCAAGAGGTCATATTTTATGGATTTTATGTAAATTAAAACCAAAATAGGTATTGATTTTAATACTAACTTTTAGAAACATACCTTTTTTAAATTATATTTCTAAAGGATTTAAACATTTTGTATCATAATGAGACAGTCCATTGGAAATGACAAAAAATTAAGCCTTCTTCATTCTGATCTCAGGAGGAGATAAAAGGAAACAAATTCAGACTGGTATCCGGCATGAATAGCAGATTTAAAAATGCATTCAGCCACTCGGCTCACCGTCGATTGATTCCTGCGTCATCATATCTCGGCCGTATGACAGACGTCGCCATTTTGGAAGTAGTGCAAACTACTCTAGATAACCGGATGTAAACAATAATAAACATGGCGGCGCCCTGACAGGACATTCAGAACTCCTCGACAATATCCTCAGTGTTTCCAGTTGTTTTTCACGTAGTTTGAAGTTTTGATCTTTAAAAAGTGGGCAGGAAGATAGTGCATATTCAATACATTCGTCGAATGACGCCATATTTGTTAGATCCATTTGTTTTGGGGGAACTATATTGTTTTGATTGCGGTATACATTAGTGATGCGGCGCCGTCCATCCGGGTTCTTGACCTAATCACATTTGCTGTGCGTAGTCGACATTTTTTACTGTCATACATCCGAGACTAGTTTCAAGGCGTTCGGAAGATAGCCGTAAATTGTCGAGGAGTTCCGAATGGCATTCAGCCTCATTATCTCTTAAACCTTAAAGATTGAATCATCTCATGCCTGTAAACATGCCATCAAAAACACAACAAGGGAATTTAAGTACCATTTAGTTGAAATTAATATATTGAAAGACTTGTATCAAAATATTGCTCAGTCATTTCATGAAATTGAACATTTCTCAGATATTCTTCTTCTTTCTATATTTATATTCAAGATCTGCAGATTCAGGATGGGTAGTTTGTGTTCTTAATGTATGATAGTCCTGAGAGAAAACGCAGTGAAGTCCACAATATTCTGCTAAAATTTCTAAACTTACACCAAATTGTCAAAATTTTATTAGTGTGGGACGTACATATTATACTCAAAATTTCTTCAGAATGGCAACATATTGATGGCTAGGTGGCATTTATGGTCAGACAGAAGCATGTTTATTGTCCTTTGAAATGCCTCAAATTGCACATTGTCATAATTTTATTAATTATCATTAATCTTTTCAGGAGGGGGGGTTGCAAATACTACACACATGTTCACTAACACACATTTACAGGATTTATGGGATGGCAGAGGAACTTAGTAATAAGTGGAAAGA